TCCCGCCCCCCTCCCCCCCCCCCCCCCCCGTAGTGCCAAGCCACCGCCCATCCTCTGCCCATCCTCACCTCGACCCGCCATGGCCTCCTGGAGGAGGCTCTCCATGGCCTTGCAGCGCTCACGCGTCTCCCGGTCCAGATCCTTGCCATAGAGCTGAACCCATCCCTGCAGCGTGCCGAGAGGAGTCTGGCCCTAAGGTGCAGGGGGGGAAAAGGGGGGCGAGGATCAGGGTGGGCGTTGGCACCCCAGAAACAGCAGAGCCCTCCTCCTTCCCTGGCCAGCACCAGCGTCTGCAAGCAGAGCAGCCAAAGAGGCCAGAGGGAGTGCAAAAACTTTAGAGAGCAGGACCAGCCAGAAGGGCAGATCTACTCCAAAGGGGCTGAGACCCTGCCAAAATGGAAGTCATACCCTGCGGGGGGGGGAGGGCTCAAGGAGGCTAATTGGCAATGGGCACGTCTTTCCTCTTCCTCTTGTTGCCCAAGAGCTGGGGCTTCATCATGCAGCCTCCCCTTTCGAGGGCTGTGGGCATCCAGGGAGGAGGAAGAGGAGGCGGCAGTAGCAGCTGGGGTGGGGAGGGGGAGAAGGCCTAACGACCACCCTGGCAAAGTACTCTCCCCTCTAAGCCCACCACCACCCCTGCCCTGATCCCCTCCCCAGTCCCTTCCCTCCAGGAGGACCCGCGAAGACCCTCCACCCTGCCCACCCCAGGTTTCAGCTCACCCAGCACCTCACCTTGGCGTTGCGGAGGAGTGCAGACGCCCCCCTGTGGATCAGGAGCTCTGCCACATCAAAATGGCCGCAGTTGAGGGCGTCGTGCAGGGGGGTGATGCCCTCGCAGCCAGGGCCCCCGGGATCGTCCTTGGCCGCCCCGTGGTCCAAGAGGAAACGCACCACCTCTGCAGGAAGAGTCCCAAAGGTTTGCCTTCAAGACAGCCTCCCCCACTCCCCCCCAGGAGCAGCTTCAAAAAGCTCTGGCGTTCCTACCCCCCCTCCTCAGTGTTCCCCACAGCCCACCACTCACCGAGGTGCCCATGGTTGCAAGCCTCATGCAGTGGGGTCCAGCCGCAGTAGTCCCGGGGGTTCAGAGGGTGCCCCTGGTGCACAGATGCAAAAAAGGGCCTGCGTCAGGGGGTCCCAGAGCCTTTGAGGGGGGAGCACGACCCGGATTCCTCACACCGCCCCCCCCACCTTCTCTCCGCTTTCCCTCCTTCAAAGGACGAGGATCTGGGCAAGGGACGGAGCAGGAAGGACGGCTGCCCTCATCTGGCCAAGGCAAGACCTCTGCTCCGCCCCACCTGAGCCCAGTCCCTGGGGAGGCCCCGAGCGTTGGGCCCTGGGAACCGACTCAGCTTCCAGGCCACAGGCAGGTCCTCCCCTCCTCTACCTCCAGTTCGGCTCAGGCCCTGCAACCTCCTTCTCATCACAGGATTCGGAGGGCAGGCAGGAAGCATCCCCTAAGCTGGCTTTCATGACCCAGGGAAGACCCGGACCACGTCCGTGTTGAATTGCCCGGCCCTGCTTGGAGGGTCAACCTCAGAACGCGAGTCTCACGGATCAGACAGGAGAACATCCTCAGGCCCAGAAAGCTGGAGGGCAGGGCAGGGCAGGGCAGGGCAGGGCAGGGCAGGGCAGGGCAGGGCAGGGCAGGGCAGGGCAGGGCTACAGACCCCTCTTGGCTACAGACCCCTCTTGGCTACAGACCCCTCGGCCGCCAGGCCGGGACAGCCCTCAGCGCACCTTCTCCACAAAGAATTGGACCTGGCGCAGGTTCCCCTCAATACAGGCGCGATGCAGCGGGGTCTCCCCTTTGTAGTTCCGCTGGTTCCACTGGGGAAGGGCAGACAACACGGTCAGGGAGAGACACCCACCCCTTGGCCCCTCCCCCAAACCAGCCGACCCGCAAGACCCTTCGGGCCGAGGAGTCCACCGGCTGACGGTCCAAGATCTATCCTGTGGGCACCTGCTGTGCCCCCTCAGTTCCCCTTCTGACAACCCACAGTTCCAACATGGGTGGGACAGAGGCAGGCCAGCCAGCCGTCCCAAGCCAGGAGGCCAGCCTCTCAGACCCTGGCGACAGATGCCACCAGGCGATCGACTAGGAGTGAGAAAGGCCTCTTCCAAGCCCAGCCAGGCTCCCTGAAATCCCTGGCTTTCCATCAGCCCCAGAGCACCCTTCTCCCAACACAGGCCTACGTTGCAGGGAAGCCGCAGGCCCCCTGGGATCAGGCTCCAGAGCGCACGCACGTCTGGGAGCCAGAGACTGGCCACTCTTGGCAACTGGGAGGCCTCTGGCTGGCTGGCGGCAGCGCCCTCCCCACCCACCCCCACCCCTGGCCTAGGCTGGCCTTGGAGAGCACCTGACCTTGTTGATCCTGCGCTGGCCCGGCCCGGTTTTGGTGTAGCCTTCCAGGTCCTCTTCCTCCTCGTCTGCAAGAAAACCAGACTCGGTCAGGGACCCTGCCCAGGCTGCCCCCCTCAAGCCTCCCTTCCCTCCAGCGTGAGGAAGGAGGGGGGCATTTACAGCACCCCAGGGCCAGGCCTGCTGCCCGCTTGCCTTTGCAGGACAAAGTGGGGGGGCGCGAGGGCCAGCGCCCATCATGGCTCTCTGGGCCCGTGTCTCCCCAAATGCCCTGACCACACCGGGCAGCCACCTGCTCCAGAGCGGCTTTAGGGGAGGGGAGAGGCCTGCCCTTTCCTCTGGAGCTCCTGCTCCCTTGATTTCCATGGTCTCGCAGGGAGGGGGGGAAGGAAGGGTGCCCCAGACCTCTGGTAGGGCCTCCCTCTCCTGCATCCTCTTATCGCCACTCTTCCCCTCCTGGTCTCCTCCGCCACAGGGGCTGAGCTCACGTGGGGGGGGGGAGAGCTGGAGACGAAAGGGATGGGTTTGGCAAAGAGACAGGGAAACTCCACAGGGAGTAACCTTAAAACTGGCTGGGGTGCATTGGGGGCACTTGGGCTGCGGAGGAAAATCCCAGCCAGACAGGGGACCACAATGGCTCCTTCTTTCAAAAGGCCCAAAGGCTGTTTGTTGCTCAGAAGGAACCGTTCTTCTCCTTTCTGCAAAACAGGATCACCTTCATAGATTCCTGTCCCATAGTCTGGACTGCCTCAGAAAGGGGCCTCCTTTCATCAGGTCCCTGTCCTATAAGTAACAAGCCACGAAAAACATTTAAACTGCCGGTGGCAGAGATTATGAGGCTAATTAAGGCACCAGGGAGCCTAGTGGCAAGGAGTTCCACAGTCCCAGAGACATATTCTTCTGTTTTAAGAAAACAAAGGGGGGGGGGGTTTGCGGGAAGCAGTAACATCACAAGTAACATGTCAGGACCAATATCTCTTTTCTCCCCATAAGCCAAAGGCAGCACCAGCCATAGCTGTGGCTCCTGATCCGACCCTCTTTTACGACACTCACCGCTATCGGAGAGCTCCAGGTCGCTCACGTCCAGAGGCTCGCTACTCTGCAGCTCTTCCTCCTCCTCCTCTTCCTCGCTGATTTCCCCATCGGAGCTCCAGCCCTGCACGCGGCACAACTCCTGCAGCTGAGCGAGCGTGCCGGCTGCTTCAGGGCATCCGAATTTCCGCTGGGAGGCGAGGAGGTGCCGCAGGATCTGACGCTGACAGACCATAGTTGAAAAACAACAAGGTTGTTAAGAGGTCTCCTCTGGTCCTCTCATGACAGGTCAGGACTGGTTTAAAACAACCCTTCATGAGGCTTTAATGAGAGATTTGAGGAAAGGTTTCACCCACCCACTGCAGTCAAGTTTCCATAGCTGAGTCGGAATTCAAACTCAGGTCTCCTGATTCCATATCTCAACCTATGACATCACGCTGGGAACCTGACATGCGTCAACTCGCTCAGAATCCCTCGTGTCTCTCCTGACCTTCAGTCGGCTAAACCTGCTATCATCATACTTCCGAACCCTGCCTGCCCTCGCCTTCACTTGGGTGCAGGATGAAAACTGTTGTGGTGGCGCCTTGGGACAGGGAGAACCACGTTTTTGTTATAAATCAGGCAAAATTGTGCTGAATGCAGCTGGCCTAAAAGAGCAAGGACTGATGCTCTGCTGCACAAACGCTGGTTTTGAGAGGGAAAGGACACTAACTCCACACACACAGCGGAGGACATTAAACCCCTTTTCCTGCTGTCTCTTCATGGAAAGGAAGTCGGAGGGGGCTGAGAATCCTTCGTGAAAGCATCTTGTCAAGTTGGAACAGCTTTTAAACAGACAAGAACAAATAACTTTACACCCCTGATGTTTTGGCTCAGGCTGCTCCCTTTCAAAGGGAGTGTTGTCGTGTTGAAAGAACAAAACACGACAACAGGGGGAGGGGAACCTGCCTAGAACGTTCTTCCTGGGCAGGGAAGGAAGGCGCTGCCTCCAGATTACGGATTCATTGATCTGTCCGAACAAGGAGCGCTTGGGCGACGGAAGTGTGGAAGGAAGCCAGGAGACGGTGCACAATGGAGAGCCACAACGGAGACAGAGGCAACCGGAACATCTTTCAGCGGTACAGAGCATGGGAGCTGGCCTTGTTGGGGGCGGGCAGGGGGGCAAGGGCCTGGGGCAGAAGGCAGGAGAGGAGTCCTCTGTCACTACGTTCGCCCAAGGTCTGAGACAGAAGGGAGGACGGAGGTTTGCCTTTCTGCCGACGGGAATCTTTTCCTCTTCCTTCTCCTCCTCTATCCCAGAAGGGAAGCAACCCTCCCAGCCCCGGCCCCCTCCCCTCTCGAGGCTCACCTGCAGTTTGGGGTTGGCGGCCCCCTCCGCGCACTCCAGGGCGTTCTGGAAACAGAGCTCCAGGTCCGCGTAGCTCTCCTTGGCCTCCTCCTTGGCCAGGGCGATGCTGAGCCACGTCCTCCCCTCCTGGTCCGGGAAGAAGGAAGGGGCAAAAACCAAGCCGTTACCCCCCAAACTCCGCCTCTCCCCCCCACCTGCCCGAAGAGGGTCTTCTGTTGCTCTGTGAAAACGGCCATTCCCAGCGGGGACCCACTGGCGAGGGATTCGGGGGAGCGTCACTGGAAAAAGCAACCCTGCTGTGTTCTGTGCCTGCTCAACCGGGGGCTCAGCAGCAAAGGATCCCAAGTGTGCCCCTGACGCTTGAACACACACACACACACACACACACACAGAGGCCAATCTTACCTCCAAGGGGTTTCCCTTGCGAAGACCCAGCTCTTCCTGATAGTGCTGTATTGCCTGCGGATAGTCCTTCAGGTCTGCATACGTGGCCGCCAAAGAAACGTGGATCACGGCCAGCTCCTGCGCCGGCCGCTCCAGAGCCCGGGCGTGGCACAGCTGAAACGAGACCACCTTGCAATGCCATGGCATGGCATCTTGGTCCACATCTAGCCTGCTTGTCCCTCTCCCCTTGTCCTTGGCCAGCCTGGGGTCACCCTTCCCTCCCTCCTGGCCTTGCTTCATTCAACCCAAACAGCCCCTTGGAAATTCCTTCAAAGTTTTCCCCCAATTTTCTCAGGCTTCCTCATCAGGACCCAGTTCTTCAACCGCTCTGGGAAAAGCTCAGCCCTCCTCCTCGCCTTCATTCAGAAGGGATCCTCACCTTTGCCGAGCTAGCCAAAGGCCCCCCTCCTCCTCCTCTCTGTAGACCACCTTGAGCAGCAGCCTCGCCTCACCTGCTTTTTGTAGGCCTCAGCAGACCGCCGATAATCGCCCGCCTTGGAGAAAACGTCCCCCAGTCGCTCACACAGGCCCACGGCGGCTTCCTGGTGACCGGCTGCCTCCTCCTCTTCCAGGGCCTGCTGCAGCCGGCTCACCTTTGTGGCTGCCAGGGAGAAAGCCCCCAGTGAGCGCCCCAAAAGCTCAGAGCGCCTGCTGCTCCTGGCATGCAAGCTGTTCAGAAGGGCTCGTGTCTCCCACTCACCATAGCGCAGGCTGCTGCAGATGCTCTCCCGCTGCTGAGGCTGCAGGGAGCCCAGTAAGTAGGCCTTCCGGAGGGCCCGCTTGGCTGCCACAAAGTCTCCCAGGCTCAGCAGCACCTGCATGGGGGGCACAGAGGGCAGAGAATCAAGGGCGCCAGAACCCCTAAGTGGCCAACGGGGGCTCAATTCCTCTCTACTAGGGGGAGGCCCCAATGAGAGGACAAGGCAAGGAACTCGGGGCCAGAAGGGTGCCATGGACCGACCCCCTTTTTCTCCACAGAGGGCCCTGAAGGAACAAGGGGGCCACAGCGGGCCCTTGCCTAGAATTTCTCAGCCAGTTTTGAGGAAAGGAGACCTTGGCCCCTTCCCTGCATCAGCCACCCCTTTTGCCAGGCTGCTTCCCTTCTGGGACTCCTGACATGCTTGCAAGCATTAGTATATATCCCTGAAAGGAGGATCGGTGGAGCTGCTCCAGACTCTCCTCTTGAGCCGGCGCATGACGCAGCCTTGAAATCCTGGGAGCGCAAAACCAAGGAATAGCCTTCGAGAAAAGCGTCCTCCATGCTCCTTACACAACTCAACCAGTGTGTTAAAATGTCACACAGATATTAAGAGGGACAGATTAAAAAGGGAGCACAACACCCCGGAATTACAAAGGCATCTTTGGTGCATCCCCACTCTGGATGTTGTGGGAGGAGGGGAACTTGCGCACATGCACAGGTGTGCCTGCGTCTCTGTGCATCCAAAGTGTGCCGCTTTGCCCTCACCTGGGCGATGCCGGCGCAGCACTCGCTCTCCATGTACTTCTCCTTCATCTTGCAGGCGCAATCCCGCGCTCGCTCCAGGCAGCGCATGGCCTTCGAATGCTCACCCTCCCGCAGGTGGATGGTGCCCAGGTTGAAGTAGGCCCGGTAGAGATCTTCGTGCAGCTGAGCCTGACTGGAAGGAGGAGGAGGAGGAGGAGGAAGAGGAGCAAACCACCCGGCATTCCCGGAAACCATTGTCTGAGACCAGCCCGTGCTGCTTCTGTGCTCCTTCCTTCCAAAACTAGCTCAATGAATCTGAGGAGGGATTTGCCGCTCAACTCAAGCAGAGGCTGAATCAAGCCAGGAAGCTTTCTAGACTTTATACTATTCATTGTATCCTCCCCTTTCTCTCCTTGTAGGGACCTAACGACAGTCCCCGGGTTGCTATGGCAGGCACGAGGTCCCGAACTACTCCTGACAGCACGGTGTCAGCATAAACATTGAAGACCAGAAGCCAAAGAGACTCAGTCATCAACCCCAAAGATCAGCATCGCTAACTCAGGCAGCGAGAATGCCGAGCAGTGGCTTGGTCAGGACGCCGGCAGCATCCCTAATTCTGTCCCAAGCCCCTGGACAGCCGTCAGACTCTGGGACAGGACACCTGGCGAGGGGAATGGAATCGCAACAGACCACCGCAAATCCCTCCCCCCCAACCGCCCCAGCTCCTGCCTCTTCCTCCTCCTGCTGCGGCACAGAGTATTCTGGTTGGCAGAAGCTGGAGATATAGTAACCCCTTCCAGTTTGATTCAAGCCAGAGTCTGTAATAACAGGCCAGGCCAGCAGACTCCCCCCGCCCCCCAGGCTCCAGTTCTGCATGGCTGCTGCTTTGCCCTCCACTGACCTGGCATTCAGCAGAAGCACTTTTCACTCAAGGGAAGCCTGGCCAGAGCTACCCAGACTATCTGGTTTGGAGGAAAACCTCAATATTTCTTTGATTCCCCTTGTTTACAAGCATTGAACGGCAGCGTCCTCACCATGTGGCACCTCCCTCTGCCTTCCACAGTTTGGGCAACTGGCTTCTCCCCCCCTCCCCACCCCACTGGGAATCCCAATTCCATCACTGAAAAGACATTCTTCCCTCACTAGGCAATAATTTAGAACAGGAATAGTCTTCCAAAATCAAAAGAAGAAGCAACAGTGAAGCAAATGGCCCTGAGCTCAGTGAAACTGGCAACCTGGCCCTCCCCCTCACAATTCCCCTCTGAAGGGGCTCCCCTCCATTTGGCATTACCACTTTTGGCAGGGAGAGACCTACCCCCCCACGGAAGTCAATAGGGTCACAGGGCTTCACTTCCCTCCCAGCTCCCCTCCTCCCCATTGGAGAGTGGCCCCACTGCATCTCTGAGCACATGCAGAGAGCTGGACATCAGCCCTTAGCCATCCCCACGTATCAAGGACGAAAAAGCCAGGCCTTTCAAGAAGCACCCCCCCCCAACTGCTCTGCCCTCATCAGAAGGAAGGGAAGCTGGCCTGGGGTGTGAGGGATTTTGGTTCCAGGAAATCACCAGCCCGTCCTGAGAGAGGTGGTTCGGTCTCTCCCCACAGCCACCTACTCTCACCTGAGGAGAACCTACGGACACCACCCATGCTTGTGCTACTAATAAGAGAAGGAAGGAGCATACACGAGACAACTGCAGTAAATCTTAAGCTTAGGACTGTCAAATAATAACCATCTTCTTTTTCCAAAGGTTCAGCAAACGAGCAAATTTTGGAACAGTTCCTCTTTGGCTGGCTAGGGGTTCTGAAGTTGCAGAGCTGTCCCCAGTACTCCCTAAGAGGCTCACATATTTATACATACAATTCTTCAAACAAGTGAAACATGGCAGTGTAAACACTGTTGGAAGTGTCTTTGATTTTTTTTTCCTCTCCTTGGAATTCAACCAAGGTAAAACATGTGGAACTACAGCGTTTATGTCTGCTGCCTCGTGGCGTAGTGGTTAAATTGCAGTACGCAGCCGAGACCCTGCTCGCGACCTGAGTTTGATCCCAACAGGACAGCTTAAGGTGGACTTGGCCTTCCAAGGCTGATAAATTAAATACCCAGCTCGTGGCGGGGGGTAATGGGTAGCCTGCATCATTAACATTGTAAACTCCCGAAAGAGAGCTTTAAGTACTCTGGGGCAGTATATACTGTATTTTTCCATGTATAAGACCCCCCACTTTTCCAACCCCAAATTAAGAAATCTAAGTGGGGCTTAGCAAGTGTAGGGGGGAAGGGATCAAAGCACTGCAGGATCGCTTTGATCCCTGTTTTCTCCCTTCATGCTAAGCCCCGGAGGGAGAAAGGGATCAAAGCAATCCCGCCACTGCACGATCATTTTGATGCCTTTTCCTTTTATATAGCCACGGGATTGCATTGATCCTTTCCCCCCTCCTTTTGCTAAGCCCCATGGGACTTAGCAAGCAGAGGGGAAAGCAGAGATCAAAGCCATCCTGCAGCACTTTGATCCCTGCTTTCCTTTTGCTAAGGATTAGCAACTGGAGGGGAAAGCAGGGATTCAAAGCCCTGCAGGATCAGTTTGATCCCTGCTTTCCCCTCCACTTGTTTTTGTTCTCTCCTCAGCTTACTTCCCTGTATAAGACAACCCTCAATTTTAGTCTAAAGATTTTAGACAAAAGTTTAGTCTTATACATGGAAAAATACGGTAAGCGGCACACTTGGCTTGTCTTTTAAAATATTTTGAAAGGTTTAAGAGGTTTTTAACACCCAAATAAAGTTCTGAGCTCAAGCATGTCACGTTCTGAGGAGGGCAGCAGGGGGTTGCTTCATTCATCCTTTGATAGGGAGCCCACGTGCCGTTCAAACTGGGCAGGTGGGGAGGGGGAAACCCGGCCGAGCCCTTACTTGGCTATGTAGATGCTCTTCTTGATGTAAAAGGTGTGCTTGGCTGGGTTCTTCAAGCTGTCATAGACCAAGCCAAGGTTCAGGTAGAGACGGGTCCTCATCTCGCTCAGCAACCGCTGCGATACATCCCCTGGGAGAAGAGCTCGTGGTGAGCCAGCAGGCTGCTATTTGCCTGCAGACACCCCCCTCCCGCCTGCCCCCCCAGCACCTATTGAATCCCCTTTCCTTAAGAGAGGAGGGGGGAGAGGGTTTCTCCCCCCAAGAAAGAGACGAGCGGCGGCTCACGGGCCAAGCTCCAGGCTTCCGCTCTCCCCACCCACCAAATGCCTTGGACCGCCTTGTCTTCCAGCAACGGTCCTCCTCGGTTCACCAGCGCCCAAGTCCACCTCAGGGAGCCTGTACCTTCCAGCTTTTCCTCCAGAACGGCCAGGCTCTTCCTGAAGGCCTTCTCGGCTTCCTGCAGGCCTTTTCCCTTTATACAGCCACGGGATTGCATTGATCCTTTCCCCCCTCCTTTTGCTAAGCCCCATGGGACTTAGCAAGCAGAGGGGAAAGCAGAGATCAAAGCCATCCTGCAGCACTTTGATCCCTGCTTTCCTTTTGCTAAGGATTAGCAACTGGAGGGGAAAGCAGGGATTCAAAGCCCTGCAGGATCAGTTTGATCCCTGCTTTCCCCTCCACTTGTTTTTGTTCTCTCCTCAGCTTACTTCCCTGTATAAGACAACCCTCAATTTTAGTCTAAAGATTTTAGACAAAAGTTTAGTCTTATACATGGAAAAATACGGTAAGCGGCACACTTGGCTTGTCTTTTAAAATATTTTGAAAGGTTTAAGAGGTTTTTAACACCCAAATAAAGTTCTGAGCTCAAGCATGTCACGTTCTGAGGAGGGCAGCAGGGGGTTGCTTCATTCATCCTTTGATAGGGAGCCCACGTGCCGTTCAAACTGGGCAGGTGGGGAGGGGGAAACCCGGCCGAGCCCTTACTTGGCTATGTAGATGCTCTTCTTGATGTAAAAGGTGTGCTTGGCTGGGTTCTTCAAGCTGTCATAGACCAAGCCAAGGTTCAGGTAGAGACGGGTCCTCATCTCGCTCAGCAACCGCTGCGATACATCCCCTGGGAGAAGAGCTCGTGGTGAGCCAGCAGGCTGCTATTTGCCTGCAGACACCCCCCTCCCGCCTGCCCCTCCAGCACCTATTGAATCCCCTTTCCTTAAGAGAGGAGGGGGGAGAGGGTTTCTCCCCCCAAGAAAGAGACGAGCGGCGGCTCACGGGCCAAGCTCCAGGCTTCCGCTCTCCCCACCCACCAAATGCCTTGGACCGCCTTGTCTTCCAGCAACGGTCCTCCTCGGTTCACCAGCGCCCAAGTCCACCTCAGGGAGCCTGTACCTTCCAGCTTTTCCTCCAGAACGGCCAGGCTCTTCCTGAAGGCCTTCTCGGCTTCCTGCAGGTCCTCACCGGAGGGGTTGCTCTCAGCCATGAACATGTAAGTCCTGCCAATGGTGGCCCAGGCCCTCTGCTGCTCCACGTGGTTGCCGAGGGAGCAGGCCAGCTCCAGGTGCCGGCGCTGGTGCTGGCAAGGTGAGAGGGACAAAGACCGGGGCGTCAAGGGAGGTCCCCCAGCACCGCCCGTGGCAGACGGTCTGCGGCCGCAAACTCTGAAAGGAACTGGGAGTGGACGCTGCAAGAGGTTCAACAGACCCAGGTCCCCATTCCAAACCACAGGCAAGCTTTATTTAGGAGAGACTTTTCCGCACAAAAGAGTCACGTTCAAATTCCACCCAGTCCATAAGTTCACCCAGTGACCAACTTGTCCTTCCAGCGGCAGCTGGCCAGACGAAGAACTTTTAAAAAGACCACGGCAAAGCATCGGACACGAGTCAAATGCAAAAAGGAAATTGTTGCTAATAACAACAGAGGCTGAGGCTCAAAAGGGACTTGAGAAGGAATGTATGTAGGTAAACGAAGGTTATATCCCTGCCTATATGCCCCACCCAAGCCTTGGCCAGATACATACAGTACCTTGCACTGCGAGGCCCAGCAACATGCTTTGAGAAATGAAAAGGAACACAGATATCTCGTGCTGCCAAAACAGCTCTGACGCGTCGAGGAATGGACTCTACATGAATAACCTCTGGAATAACCTTCACCCTGACATTCGTGGGGCTCCCTCGCTGGGCCTTGCACTGCGAGGCCCAGCAACATGCTTTGAGAAATGAAAAGGAACACAGATAGACATTCACACACACAAAACCACACTAGCTGAGATTCGTACTTCCACAAATGCTTTCAGATTTCAAAGTTGACACTGTCAGGTTTCACGCGTTTTAGGAGATTCCTGGGGGAACCCCTCAGGGGCCGCCCCACCCTCTTTCCAGCATGAAGAGGCTGCCTGCGAGGACTTATTAAGCACCCTTTTGCTAAGCTACCTGCACCAACAGTTCTCAAAAAGTGGTGGAGAAAGGACAGGGCTAATCGAGGTGGAATCCCAGACTTTCATAATAATTACAAGGAATTTATCCTCCCTCAGTCCACCTGCACACGTGGCACACCCTGCCCTCCTAAGGCCAGCGGCCTCGGGCCATCCATCTGCCATCTTCTGCCACACCGGGGGAGGGGGGGGTTACTGTTATTACAACATTCAAATTTACACTCAACAGCTGTGTTAGTTTTCATCTATATACAGAACTGCACTTGCGTTTACTTCCAAGAACCCCATAGTATCTGTATCTGAATTATAGACATAATAAGGGAATGTCTGCAAATATCTAAACTCCCTTCCTGGAAAAAGGAGACTGTTTATTTCTACCACGGTAGGACCCAGGCACTTGGACAGATCACCTCGTGGGACAGAAGATGTGAAAGCTGAAGAACTCTGGCCAAAACGACGCTGCTGGCCATGCCTCTGCCTTGCCTGGCCCACGTACCTTTAGGGCGGCTTCATAGCTCTCCAGCTCAGCCAGACACTCCCCAATTTTGCGGTGGGCAACGGCACAGCCAATGACATCATCGACGCTCTCCAGGAGACGCAGCTCCAGCTGGTGCTCCTCCAAAGCTTCCTGGTAGCGCCCTGTCAGGGGGCAGAGGACTCTACATCAGGCCTTGGAGGATTAAGAAAGTCAAGACTGCTGGGTCTACTGCTGCAGGGGTGCAGAAGGGGAAGACACCCCCCCCCTCTTGATCTTGGTCACCTTCTCCCTCTCCTGACTGACTGCACGCATGTTCAGCAGCCTGCTCAGAGGCAGCTGCTGAGCCCCTCTTTCTGTAACTTCCACCTGTCTGGCCTCCTCTGCCAAACAGCGACACCCCCCTCACCCTCCCCTAGAAAGCTTGCAGGAGCATGGTCAGAGTTCCAATGGACTGTACGATTTGCAGGCACCGGAGACTAAGGAGCAGCAAGCCGAAAAGTAGCAGCCACACTACCCTCCCCATGGATCCCCAAAGTGGAATAGCTGGGCCCAGGTCTCCTTTCAGCCATGGCCTCGGCAGACCTTTGATCACTCTCACCCCCCCACACACACACTTTGGGTCAAAGGAGAGCAGGGACTGCCCACCATGACCAAAGACGTCAACAGCTGCAGTTGGAAGCTGCAGTTCAGGATCCTGGGAACGGAAGGTCATTCGGAGCAGGGAAAACGGTTGACCCTAAGAGTTCACACTGTCTCTCCTGCTGCACCTAATAGCAAAAGTAAACCACCACAAGATGCCTGTGGCCTGTAAGGCTTTGCTGGGCTCTCAAAACACCAGAGATGGCTCCACAAACTGCAGCAGCGATCATTACGTCTCGCCTTGTAGGAACAGCCATTGTAGCACCGGGAGCTACTAAAAGCCAGCCCCCAGGAGCCACCAGCCGCCTTGGTCCCTCCGGGTGACACTCACCATGCTGAGCCAAGATCCCTCCCAGCTGGTTACAGAGGGCTGCTTCCTCCTTCAGGTCCCCCTTCCGCTGGGCTTTCTCCTTGTCCTTCTGGAGTTCTGAAGAAGAGCAGAGAGAGAAATCTCAGGGTTGGCGTTAACTCATCCCCTGGATTCAGAAACCAATACTGCCCAGCCACCCAGAGTAGAGTTGTGTGTAGATGGGCGGGGTGTACATTTAATAAAATAAAACAAATAAATAACCAGCCCTCCAAAGAGCAGGCTGTCATCCTTCAATAATTCCCAACAGTGCACACTTCTCCACGTAAAGGAAAACAGACCTTGGAAGTCCTGGACTGCAACTCCACAAATTTCCCAGATAGAACAAACAGACAAGGGTCATGCTCACGACAGGCATTTTGTTCAAGCTCTAGTCCCTGGTGGCCAGCAGGTGCCTTGCCGGAGGTGAGGGAATCCAAGGCCGCTTTTATTTCTGCTAAAGGGGGATTTGGTTCGCCTGTCCAGCTCTTCCAAGACAGGCAGGCACCTGATGTTATTTAGTGCCTCTTCGGTTACTACATTCTCTCTAGGAGCCCTAACCACTGATGATCCTGACGAGGGCTCCTGGGAATGCCAGTCGACATTCCCTCTAAGCTGTGCGCGCCTCTTGTGCCACTGCAACAGGCGCATGCAGCCAAATGATTGTTTCCTCCTATTTGCTTCCAGTCACTGCCAGGACTCTGCAAAGTTGCTGTGCCTGCACTCCAGAAAATTAGAAGGAACATTGGTTCTAGTCCAAGAATGTCTCTTAACACCAAGTTTGGGAACCAATAAGGCAGAAGCTGTAGGGCGGTTCCAGAAAGAGAAACAGCAGGGAAAGATAGCTTTTCCTATAGGGTTTTCTGTGTAGAGAGGAGCTAGAAGACCTTTTCCATTCCCTTCTTCTGGGGGTTTCCTGGGACTGTGCAGCTTGCCCAAGGCCACCCAGGCTGGCTCTTCTTCCAGGAGGCACCACTGTCGAATTGAACTCCCAACCCCTACCTAATTTACTATCCATCCAGAATTACATCAATATACAGTGATCAGCCACACCATTAAAACCACCTGCCTAATATTGTGTAGGTCATCTCGTGCTGCCAAAACAGCTCTGACGCGTCGAGGAATGGACTCTACATGAATAACCTCTGGAATAACCTTCACCCTGACATTCGTGGGGCTCCCTCGCTGGGTATTTTTAAAAATCAATTAAAAACACTGATGTTTCGGCGGGCCTTCCCTTCAGCCAACTCCTAATGTTCCCTCTTTTTTCCCTTTCTTAGTGTTTGTTTCATTTTGTCTAGAGTTTTTCCCCTATTTAAAATTGTTTTAATATATTGTATTGTGCTTGCTGTAAGCTGCCTAGATTGGACTCAATGAGACTAGATAGGCAGGATATAAATAAAATAAATAAATGACTCCTGAATGTGTCCCCCGTGGCCTCGGGCACCAAGGAGATCCTTTAAGAAGTCTTGCAGGTTGCAAGGTGGGGCCTCCATGGAGTGGATCTGGTGCTCCCGCACATCCCATGGATGCTCCATCGGATGGAGATCGGGGGAATTTCGAGGCCAAGGCAACGCCTGGTCATGTTCCTCAAACCACTCCTGAACAATGTTTGCAGTGTGGCCGTGTCCTGCTGAAAGGGGCCACTGCTATCAGGGAACACCCCTGCCATGAAGGGGTGTGTGTGTGTATGTATGTATGTATGTATGTATGTATGTATGTATGTATGTATGTATGTATGTATGTATGTATGTATGTATGTATGTATGTATGTATGTATGTATGTATGTATGTATGTAATTTCTACCCGCCCCCCTAGACAGCGTCAACTGGGGGCAGCATACAAATGTCATAAAATATCATAAAGTGCAATAAAAACATTGTGATCATTAAACAATTAAATCAAGAAGGGAAATGATAGAACAAAAGGACAGAGTTCAAGAATTGACAGAAGGGGCAGAAGGATCTCCTCCCAGGAGGGTCTCCCACATCTTTTGGCAAGGGGAGCAATTCTCCACCTCCGCCAAGATGTAAAATTTCAACAAAAAAAACAACCCATTTTTTCCCAGCAAAGAAACACACTTTCCACCTATTTTTTAACAGAAAAAAAATGGGAATTTTCAGAAATTTTGCGGCTCAGCACCAGCAAGGGCTCCAGTGCACACCCACCGACCCACTTCCCCACCAACGCGTGTCATTGAAAGATGGGGGTAGTGGAAAAGGAGACACGTGTACTCCTGGTGGGGGCAGAGAAGGGAAGAGCCATGGGCCCCTCCCCCTTACATTCCTGGGCCCAGTGTGGGGTCACCTAGAAAGCTTGCAGGAGCGTGGCCAGAGTTCCAATGGACTGTACGATTTGCAGACACCGGAGACTAAGGAGCAGCAAGCCGAAAAGTAGCAGCCACACTACCCTCCCCATGGGTCCCCAAAGTGGAACAGCTGGGCCCAGGTCTCCTTTCAGCCATGGCCTCGGCAGACCTTTGATCACTCTCACCCCCCACACACACACTTTGGGTCAAAGGAGAGCAGGGACTGCCCACCATGACCAAAGACGTCAACAGCTGCTGTTGGAAGCTGCAGTTCAGGATCCTGGGAACGGAAGGTCATTCGGAGCAGGGAAACCGGTTGACCCTAAGAGTTCACACTGTCTCTCCTGCTGCACCTAATAGCAAAAGTAAACCACCACAAGATGCCTGTGGCCTGTAAGGCTTTGCTGGGCTCTCAAAACACCAGAGATGGCTCCACAAACTGCAGCAGCGATCATTACGTCTCGCCTTGTAGGAACAGCCATTGTAGCACCGGGAGCTACTAAAAGCCAGCCCCCAGGAGCCACCAGCTGCCAGCCTTGGTCCCTCCGGGTGACACTCACCATGCTGAGCCAAGATCCCTCCCAGCTGGTTACAGAGGGCTGCTTCCTCCTTCAGGTCCCCCTTCCGCTGGGCTTTCTCCTTGTCCTTCTGGAGTTCTGAAGAAGAGCAGAGAGAGAAATCTCAGGGTTGGCGTTAACTCATCCCCTGGATTCAGAAACCAATACTGCCCAGCCACCCAGAGTAGAGTTGTGTGTAGATGGGCGGGGTGTACATTTAATAAAATAAAATAAATAACCAGCCCTTCAAAGACCAGGCTGTCATCCTTCAATAATTCCCAACAGTGCACACTTCTCCACGTAAAGGAAAACAGACCTTGGAAGTCCTGGACTGCAACTCCACAAATTTCCCAGATAGAACAAACAGACAAGGGTCATGCTCACGACAGCCATTTTGTTCAAGCTCTAGTCCCTGGTGGCCAGCAGGTGCCTTGCCGGAGGTGAGGGAATCCAAGGCCGCTTTTATTTCTGCTAAAGGGGGATTTGGTTCGCCTGTCCAGCTCTTCCAAGACAGGCAGGCACCTGATGTTATTTAGTGCCTCTTCGGTTACTACATTCTCTCTAGGAGCCCTAACCACTGATGATCCTGACGAGGGCTCCTGGGAATGCCAGTCGACATTCCCTCTAAGCTGTGCGCGCCTCTTGTGCCACTGCAACAGGCGCATGCAGCCAAATGATTGTTTCCTCCTATTTGCTTCCAGTCACTGCCAGGACTCTGCAAAGTTGCTGTGCCTGCACTCCAGAAAATTAGAAGGAACATTGGTTCTAGTCCAAGAATGTCTCTTAACACCAAGTTTGGGAACCAATAAGGCAGAAGCTGTAGGGCGGTTCCAGAAAGAGAAACAGCAGGGAAAGATAGCTTTTCCTATAGGGTTTTCTGTGTAGAGAGGAGCTAGAAGACCTTTTCCATTCCCTTCTTCTGGGGGTTTCCTGGGACTGTGCAGCTTGCCCAAGGCCACCCAGGCTGGCTCTTCTTCCAGGAGGCACCACTGTCGAATTGAACTCCCAACCCCTACCTAATTTACTATCCATCCAGAATTACATCAATATACAGTGATCAGCCACACCATTAAAACCACCTGCCTAATATTGTGTAGGTCCTCTCGTGCTGCCAAAACAGCTCTGACGAGTCAAGGAAACGACTCCGCAAGAGCCCTGAATGTGTCCCGTGGCCTCTGGCACCAAGACATTAGCAGGAGATGCTTTAAGTCCTGCAAGTTGAGAGGCGGGGCCTCCGTTGTGTTTTCTAAGTTTGCATTTTTCACTTTTCAGAGTGGCTTTTTTTTATGATTGCATACTCATTGTCCTTAACTCTTACATGATGGAAGATGCCTCTCTTTACTTCTTGTTCTTTGCTTTAATGATATTAACCACCCTTGTAGACTCCCTTGTTTTCAACTTTAAATGTTGTCTTACATTGGGACTATTCCAAGGAGAAAGGCGGGGTAAAACATTTTAAATATATAAATATTATGTTAACTGCCCAGAGTGGCCTTGTAGCTAGATGGGCAGTATAGAACTTGAATGAATGAATGTGTGAATGAACGAATTATTCCCCCCTCCCATCGTGGGAAGGTGATACAGGGGCTGAAAGGCAATGGGATCAGGATCAGGGCCTCTCGCCTAAGCTGCCCTACAGGGATGTGGTCAGGATGCCAGAGGCAAGGAAAACCAGCCAGAAGTGATGGCAGGACAGTTGGGAAAGAGAGATAGCTTCCGAGCTTGGGCTCAAATTTATTTATTTATTTATTTATTTGATTTATACCCCACCTATCTGGACCACCGGACCACTCTGCGGTCGTCCTTTGGAAAGAACTGGCCAGCACCACCACCGCCACTCAGTCCAAAATGGCAGCAGAAGAGGTGCCCCCGCAGCTGACCGATGGCCAGAATCCACAGCCTGGTAGGGCTGTCGGGAGATGGTTTTACCAGTGCTACTCCTCACTCCCACTGAGTTTCCACGGTCGATCAAGGATTTGAACTCAGGGTTGCTGAGCCTCAGTGGGCTCTGGTCTACGGCTGCTTCTTGGACAGGAAGCCTCTTGGCTTTCAAGGTGCTTGCAGGAGCTGTCTTACCTTTTTTGCCTCCTAGGACATTGCCTTCCACACCCTCACCCCCTTCCTTCCCAATCTACACGGGTTTATGTACAAACCACCCCTGCATCCAGCCACAGGGAATGGCATGTTCCTCTGCATTTTCCCCTCCCTTCTGTAAAGCCTGCAAAAGTTCTTTCTGCTCCATAATTGCTACTCAGAATAGTTAAGCTGGCAAGAGGAGTGCCAAGAGGGGCCCACGAAAAACATGAGCGAAGTTTCAAAGACCCACATGGACCCAGGAAACACAGGAATGCAAATAGCTTAGAAACAAAAGGTGGTGCCATCATTAACACTTTGAAATCAATGCGGAAAGGAATGGGCAGCCAATGTAAGGCAGCCAGAGTGGGAGAGATATGTCACCCCACTAAGGAGTCTGGCCACTGCGTTCGCCGTGTATGTAGCCTGCAACAATCTCTGGGTAGGTGGTATGTGTCAAAGCAGCACCCACATGAATGTCGAGACCCAAGGATGACCAGCAGAACATTGCCCAGAGCATAACACTGCCTCCGCTGGCTGACCTTCTTCCCACAGTGCATCCTGCTGCCATCTCTTTCCCAGGTAAATGAGGCACATGCCGCCAGCCTTCCACCTGATCTAAAAGAAAACGTGATCCATCAGATCACGCAACCTTCTTCCTTTGCTCCATCGTCCGGTTCTGATGCTCACATTCCCCACTGTAGGTGCTTTCATTGTGGGCACTCTGACCTGCCGGCGGCTACACAGCCCCAGGCACAGCAAACTGTGATGCACTGTGTATCCTGACACCTTTCTACCATGGCCAGCATTACCTCCTTTAGCCATTTGAGCTACTGTAGCTTTTCTGTGTAATCAGGACAGAGGGGCTAGCCTTCGCTCCCCTCGTGCATCCACGAGCCTGGGGCCACTGCAACGCCAAGACAGCGGTCCTCCCTTGCTCCGCTTCTGGTAGGTCCCAACCACGGCACACGGGGAATGCCCCACAAGGCCGGCCGTATTAGCGATGTTGAATAATCATTGCTATCTGGCCCTTCTCAAAGTCGCTCTGATCTTTCTTCCGCTTGCCTGTATTTCCTGCTCCCAAGACATGAAATTCAGGAAATGACTGTTCACTCGCTGCCTAGCATATCCCAACCTGTGGCTGGTACCATTGCAACGATATAGTCAATGCTAGTCACTTTGCCTGTCAGAGGTTTAACAGTTGTGACTGATCAGTGTAGTTCCCAATGCCACATTAACTTTTTTTCATGCATTGTCAAAAAAACCCCAAAAATTAAAAAATACTTGAAGACTCATGGATGTGTCCCCTGTGTCTGTGAAGTTTTGACCTATAAAAGCTCACAAAGAAGCAAAAGTGTTCCCCTTGCAGAATAAACACAGGAGAGGTCAGTGAGTTCCCACGGCAGGTAAGCGTTGGGATGCTTTAGCAGGGCAACAGATGGAGGGCAGTTCGGAGTGTTGAGATTTTGATATGAAAATGTATTAAATATTAATGTTGTATAGTTAAATGTAAAATGGCTGATTTTCCCTGAGTCACTGTACTGATTAAGACTTAATGTTGTACATCTGTACATATGATGCTTTGTGTAACCAGAAAATGAAGTAATGTATTTTCTGATGGTTCCCAGAACTGTACCTAAGTCATGTGTAAAATGAACGTCTCTATCTGCTGTTAAGTCAGATCGCGTTTTTCCTATGCTGTGTGTTGCTTCATGTCATGTTATGCTGCCAGAGGCATGTCTGTTCTCTATGTATATATGTAAATAGACTAAGTTGTTGGTTTTATTCTCTCAGTGTCATAGTGTCATAAGTATCTCTGCTAACCATTATCTCCTTAATCTGCGGATGTTATGAGAATACACGTTATAATCATTTTTTTTAAAAAAATTAAAAAATGAATGCATGACCTCAAGCCCAGGAAGATGGTCGGAACCTGGGAGGTGGGGGTGGGGCAGGAGGATCTCCTCCTGGCACAGCCCTGCAGAAATGGCCAGGAGGGTTTCCCACGTCTTTTTTTAGCAAGGGGCGCAATTCTCCACCGACACCAAGATGTAAAGTTTTTTTTAAAAAATCCCATTTTCCTCCAGCAAAAAAACCCACACTTTCCCCCTAATTTTTAACAGAAAAAATGGGAATTTTCAGAAATTTTGCGGTTCAGCACCAGCAAGGGCTCCAGTGCACACAAACACACTCCCACTTCTCCACCAACGCGTGTCACTGAAAGATGGGGTATGTGTGAAAAAGGAGACACGTGTACTCCTGGTGGGGGCAGAGAAGGGAAGAGAGCCAAGGGCCCCTCCCCCTTACATTCCTGGGGCCAGTTTGGGGTCAAGGAGGCCGCGCCCTCCCTCCCTGCTCTTCGGACCCCCACCCGCAGCCGAAGAGGGGATGATGGGCGTTGTAGTCCAAAGCCTCTGAGGGGGCTTTCGTGCAGAATAGAACCCCCCCTTTCACCTTACGCACTCGGCGAGGCCCACAGCCTAGAGCAGTTAGCTTTTTTTGGACTACAAATCCCATGATCTGGCGGTGGATTCTGGGAGTTGTAGTCCAAAAAAACCCACCAACTCCTCACACCAAGTGACTTTCCCGAGGTGGGAAAGGATGGGGGAGGGGGTCGCCCCTAAATACCCCCCTCCCTTCTTCCCGG